TGACGAATCCTGCATTTTACCTTTTGTAAATGTGTTATTATAGTTAAATTAAAACCCCTTAATCCCAAATAAGTTTTAAAAAGTATGTCGTTGTACAAGGTTATCTTCTTGGTAATGGAAAAAACAGAGAAAAGCTTCGTCTGGTGCATCAGGTACACATCGCTAACATCACGTTTGACTCCAGCCGTGAAGATAAGTTAAAGCGATGACTTATGTCGGGATTGTTCCCTAAATCCTTGTGGTTGTCACCTCCTGCTGGATTTGAAGACATATTTTGATGATGTACCGCTCCATCCATCTCCCTCCTTTAATGAAATCTCCAGTAAAACCTTTCTTTTGCCAAACACAGCACTCTCATGTTGCCAGTTTGGGTCACGTCTCATTGGAGGTGATTCAGGGCTGTCTGTCAGTACTTGGCAACGTGAGGACAAGCTGTCATCTTTCTCTCTTCCTTCAAAAGAGAAGGCCGTTTTTTATGTGCAGCTTGATGGAATTTTATCAAAGTGTTGCATTTGTGGATCTTGTAAATGTTGGTTTCGGATCCTTCAGTAAAGGCTGGATTTGATTTCAGTTACTGGACTCAGCGGCGTCCTACCAATGAGAGCTCAAGATGACTTTCTTCTTGATTTTTAAGGATAAATTTGACGGTTGTTATCAGTGATTTTCTTGTTAAGTTTGTGCTTTAATGTGAACTTTATGTCATCTCCAACAGGGCTGAGTAAATATCTGTTTGATGATAGAAGTGACTTTTTTCTTTCAGGGATAAAACAAAGTGGTCGCCAATTCTGAGATGATTTTAATTAAATGTGATTAATTGAATTTCAAGCCAAATAACTAATCAAAAAGTTATTTTGGTTGGCTCAAATGATGCAGTTAGACCTTATTATGCATTAACTTATTTAATTACCTATTTACAGTAAAACTGGGACCTACAAGAGGCAGACGATCAAGCTCTCCTCCAGTCGACCCAAGAATCGACCGTGTTTACTTCGCAGACGTATCTGAAGAGGGTTGGATTTTGCTTCACTTTTACTGTCCATCATACCTTGAGTCTCTAAAAGTTGCCTCTCTGACCTCCATCCGTCTGTGTCGTTAACTTTGAATCACCACATCCCACTAAAATCTTGTCTGGGAGTCTCTGTGTTCCCTCATCTCGTAGGTTTCTCTGGATCGTCGCCGCGGTTGTCCTGCTGCTTTTCCAGCTGCTTCAAATACAGGCATCAGTCCAACCGTTATTATCACTGTTACAAAGCTTTTATACTTTCTGTACTTAACTAAACCATGCAAAGTAAATCTACTTATTCCAGACTGAGTTCTTAGCCTATCTTGATAGTGATAGTGTGAAAAGGCTGTATATGGTACCAAGCAAGAACTTTATCTTATAGCTTTCTTGGAGAACATGCATTCACACACTGAAAAGTAGCCTCCATGAACCATTTGTGGTGATGTGCAAAACTTTTACTAATAGAAATGAAAAAAGAGGTTTAAAGCAAGTGAAATTGAAAACAAAGCTGCTTTTATGAACCAAATTTAAAAAAAAGGTCTATGACGGTGCCAATTTCAGGTGTTAGCAGATCAGTTTTTATTTCACTCTGCCGTTATTTTGCTTTTACCAAATCATTAGCTGGATTTTAAGGGTTAGTTGCTGCGACTTGGTATGTTTTTCTTTGTGCGTCTCAGTGCTGCCCCTGCCTGGTCTCCAAACACTCCTTCACCTCCTTCTCCTCCTCCTCCTCCTCCTCCTCCTCTCAGTCCAGCAGCTGGCCCATTCCTCAGTGTTATTATTGGATTTCTGAAAGCCGGGAGGGGGCATATATCACATCTCCCTTCATCACCCCCCTCTGCCTTCATCCTCACTCATTCTTTCATTCATCTTTCTCCGTTTTAATAACTCCCTCTCTGCTCTTTGGCCATTAATAAAGATGAACTCACTCTGCTGTCGCCTCCTGCTCTCACCCCTCTCCCTCTCACTTTTTGCTTCTCCTTTCCTTTTGCTCTTTATTGACCTCCTTCTTTAAAATCTAACCCCCCCATACCGTCCTCCTCACATGTACCTGGATGTCCTTTATCTCCCCCTCTTCCTCTGTGTCTGGACTCTGTAAAAAAAGACCCAGTCTTCCCCTCCGTCCCTCTCTTTTCTCCTTCAATTTCTCTCGGTCTGACACGTCGGTCCATCATGTGCCGGGCTCTGGACACCGGCCTCCCTCAGACGCTCTCATTCATCAGGACTTTGAAAAGCAGAAATCACTCTCTCCTCTCCTCCGCTGGCCGCTGCCACTTATTGCGCTATCCATCACACCTGGCGGATGATCAATACGAGCCTTCCCCCCGCTGCTCCTTTCTCTCACCGCACCTCCTTCTCCTCCTCTTCTGCACTGTATTTCTTCCACGTCTGGCTCTCTGCAGGTTCATGTGAAAAAACAGAGGCTGTCAGGTCTTTTAAGTTAGCACAGCTGCTCCTGAAACATGGAACAAGCCCAGAACGATCCGTCAGTGGCATTAGATTATCCTCACTGACATGGATGTGTAAATTCAAGTAGAACAATAAAAGGGATTTGAGAAAATTCATCTCAGGTACCTCAAGGAACTTTATACAACTCCAGAGCTGAAAAAAGTGCTCTGGGTTTGAACAGGAAATGGTTTGGGCACAGCAAAACTGAGACTTCACACCTCTAAAGTCAGGACAAAATCTCTGTGCAGATTATTAACAGTAAAACTGAGACCTCAAACCGCCCACTATTTACTGTAAAGCTGAGACCATTTACTTTTGAAGAAACTCTGAGTGAGGCCTTGGTGTAATGTATACTTTATCGGCGAATGTCTGATCTTAAACCCCGTAAGTGAGTAGCTCACTATTTATGGTGAAGCTGAGACCTCATATGATGAAAATAGGTCAGGGTCAGGCCTTTGTGAAACTCACTGTTTACTCTGAAACTAGGACCCAATCCTGCTGAAAAAAGAAAGAGTGAAACATAAAAGTAGATTATTATTTACAGTGAAACCAAGACTTAATACCAACCTTGATATTGATAAGCCTCTGTGTTGCTCGCTATTTACAGTGAAGCTGAGACCTCATATCATAAAAATAGTTCAGGGTCAGGAAACTGGGACCCAATCCTGCTGAAATGAGCAAGAGTGAAACATAAAATTTGATTATTATTTATAGTGAAACCAAGACCTAATACCAGTGTTAACATTGCTAAGCCTTTGTGTTGCTCACTATTTACAGTGAAGCTGAAACCTCACTCTGCTGAAGTCAGTCGGGGTGAATGGATGAAAATATAAAGTGAAACTGAGACTGCTAAAGTAACTGACCAAATCTAATAAAACTAAGACCTCATCCTGCAGAAGTAGATCAGGTCAAGCCACTGTGCATCCTAGTATTTACAGGGAAGCTGAGACCTCAAACCACTGAAGCAAGACTTGACAAACCCTCTGAGTTAATAACTGCTGAAGTAAGCTGAGTTAAGCTTCTTTGTACGTTTCTATTCCAGTGAAGCTGCGACCTAATTTTGCTGAAGTAAATCAGGATGAAGAGTCATTAAAAATTACGATTTACAGTGAAACTGAGACCTCATTTTACTGAAGTAAATCAGGTTGAAAAGTCAGTATAGATTATAATTTACAGTGATGCTGAGACCTCATTTCTGAAATAAGACAGATTGAGCCTCTACTTATTACACCATTTACAGTGAAACTGAGACCTCATACCACTGACGCAAGACTGACAAACCCTCTGAGTAGATAACTGCTGATGTAAGCTGGGTTAAGCCTCTGTGCACCTTCCTGTTTCAGTGAAGCTGAGACCTAATGTTGCTGAAGTAAACTGGGATGAAAAATCTGTATAAACAATAATTTACAGTGAAGCTGAGACCTCATACCACTAAGGTAAACTAGCATGAATTCTCCTTGTAGCTGCTTACAGGAAAACTAAGGCCAATTGGTTGTGGTATTTTCTCAAGTCACATCCGAGGTGTTCATCCTCAATTTGTTAGACCAATTAGATCCTCGTATTTCAATGTCCTGATGATTAGAAGTCAGAAAGATTAGATCAGATTGGCCTGGATGCTGCTTAGTCGCCTTCCTGTAGAAATGAGCCAAACCTGAAGCCAGGAGGGCTGTTTTTATTGCAAGAGTTTTTTTTCCTTCTTTTTTTTTTACTCAGGGACTAACTTGTGGTCTGAATTGATGGTGTTATTCCAGAGATCCCTCTTCAGGTGGGACCCAGTTAATGGGGGGCAGCAATAAGAGTGGCTAACGGTGGCTGTAATTCTGCTGAGAGCAGCTTTGCTTTGTAAAACTGATTTGTTCAGGACAGAAGAGTCGTTAAACAGCCGCCCAGATCCTAATGCCTTTCTAATCTCCTTTGGTTTCACTAATTCTTCTCAGTCCATACCACCATTAGACTTTTCCACAGGTTCTTGGTGATGAATTAAATTACACAGGATGTATTGAGCAAACTGACCATAAATTGGCCCTCGTTGGCCTGGTGCAGGTGGAGTGGCTGAGAAGATCCTGGATAACTGGCTGTGCTGTGCTGCAGGTGCACAACAAATGAAACAGGAAATCCTAAAATCACATAATAAGATGTCCCAGCGCAGAATCACTAGTTTGTTCATAAAATGAGGTCAAGTCTTGTGTTGAAATTAAGCCATATTCACCCCAGTGAAAAGCTTTAGAATCAGTCATTTGTCCATAATGATGAAGAATATCACCTTTTTACATGAATTAGTACGTTTATTTGTTTGTCCAGGGGCGGAGCCAGACTGTTTGGACTTGAGGGCCCAGACTCTTGTAGAGGTGGCCAAACATTAGGAGCTTATCCCAATTCTTAGAGGGTGATCATCTACTATATGAAATAAATCCGTTTTTATAAATTATTTTTCATTGGAAATGTGAGGGCTGAAAAGTGAAAAACACCCCCCTCTGTAGGTGAAGCCAGGTAATGCTTCTTGTCTTTATAAAGCCAGGTGTGGGCAATTATGCCTTCTTTGTCTGATCCTGGTAGCAGCTAGGACTGCTAGCTGTGTGTGCAGGTAAGGGAGAGCTGGATAGAAACACCAGTTAGTCATGAGTCTAATGACTTCTTTTGTATTCAGAGCTGGAAAGCTGTTTGCTGACTTGCGCTGACTGTTGTCCGACTTGTAGGCTGCTGAAAAGGTTAGCTACAAATAAGGATTTTCATCATGAGATTGTCTCCCCCCATGTTAGCCAGAGTAGCTAGCCTGTTGACTTTCCCTAACCTGGGCCCAGATTGAGTGAGGTGACAAACTGGCATGGTAATGTAGGGTTAGTGTTATTACCCTCTGAGGTATTTTTGGCTTTGTCCATGATTTTCACTTATGTTTCCTTGATTTCAGATTTAATTATCAGACTGCTGTTTGTCTTCTCCTTTCCTGTTTTGCAGCACTACCCTACCTCCTGCTAGGCTTTGTTTGGCCTTGCTTGGCTTTGGTTTAAGTCAGTCCTTCTTCAGGACTGTTCGAATTATATTTGTCCACAAAACTACAGAAACTTTAATATTTGTGTCTAAAATTGTTTTTGTACAAACCAAGACAATTTACCTGTTACCCTTTTTGATGTGAACTGAATCAACTGATACTCAGCATTTTATCTTGTTCCCTTACAGAGGTACGAGCTGTGGGGCGTGAATGTGGGGTCCACCTGTTTGCATGCTGTAGTAGGTCATTTAAATGTTTTGTAGACTTGCATCCCTTTGCAGTGACTATTGCAGTGAAGATTTGTGTTAGCAGCTTTTAAATAAACAAATCTTACCTGTGAAACAAATGCACGTCTCCTGCTTTTCCTTGAATCTGTAAATTGGCTTTGTGTCAACACATTTAAAGGAAGGGTCTTTCTCTGGCCTAAGGGTTTTTCTCCAACCCTGTGTCTTTAATAATGTCCTGTGGGGAGTTTTCTGATGTTCATGAAGTTAAACTGAAATTCATATTGATGACTTTTTGTGATATTCATAAGAAAACAAGATCAACAGTTTTTATATCATGTATCTTAAGTCCTGAAACAGGTTCAAGGGGGCAGTTTTGCAAACAGTCCCGTTTTCACATTTTTCAAATTATGAAAACAGGGCTATTAAGGGGTGTCGAATAAAGTAGTGTCAATAAATGAGAAAATTGACTGTACATGAGTGGTTTAAAAGAGGCACTACTTTGGCATATAGAGGACATGATAAGCAGAGTTTTATCCACAGGGGGCGCCAAAGTTGTGACAAAGTTCCTCACAGGAGCTTTAAGGACTAAAAGAAGAGAAAACTAATACTGTCCGAGAGACGATGAGAACTAATTACCACCTGAAAGCTTGTGACTTATTTCATTTTTCTGGGAAATGATGGTTTTCATGGTGTTCAGGGCAAACATGGAACAGATGAAAAACATTTGTTTGTTTGTCTTAATGATTTTAAATCACTGTCTTTGATTTTAAATTTTCATGTCTTTATTTTAAATTGTTATATTCTCTCCTTTTTTAAATTTTGATGTATTTCTTTGCATCTGTAAAGGACTTTGAATTGCCTCATGTATGAATGGTGCTATACAGATAAACTTGCCTTGCCCTAAAAAAAGATGTTTGTCCAAAGTCACCAAATTAAGTACCAATAAATTCTAAAAAAATCGCTGACTCTGAGTTGGCCAATCAGATTGAGGGGGCATAGCCCACCTGACCATCCTCTGCCACTGCTCAGTTTGTACCCGCATTGGCAGCACTAATTTACTATGCTAGCTAGCAAACAATACAGTGAATTATGCTGCGTTCGAGTTACCTCAGAAGTCAAAAAAGCAAAAGCTGAGGCGGAAACAAGATGGCTACATCTACGAAAGTTATTTCAGCGCTTGCCTTGTCTGAATATAAGCAACTTCTGGACAATTATGCAGTCCTTCTGCAACATCTTGTTTCCGCCTCCGATCTTGCTATTTTCCGACTTGGTAACCCAAACGCTGCTAACTTGGGTGTGATGTCATTCCCAGCTTGGACATCTGACTTCTGAGGTAACTCGAACACAGCATTACTCTCAGACTTTCAGCCTGCTACCACGACGACTGCATTAAACCTAAAGTTGCCAGTTCTTAGAGTCACTCCTCAAACATGAGGTTTTACCTTTTATAAGCCCTGTATCTGTGAGTGGGGTGGGGGATCTTCCTTGTAGACCAGCTACATCCTTTAAACCAATGGTATCTTTGTGTTAGTGCATATATCCAAAAAAACACATGCAGCCACCCAACGTCATTTTGACGTCTTTTTTCAGGCTAGATCACATCGGCCTGTCATGGCTGTCATTTAGCCCAAAAAAACATGTTGAAAACTGGGCTTTATTTAGATGGTCCAAATCTAGACGTTGTTTAGATGTATGATGAAAATGTCTTTTCAACCACTTTTTGCTGGGTGGGAGGCTAGTTTTGAGCAATGACGGTCATGTTTCTGTTCCCCAGGGTTACTGTCATGTTCCAGAAAGTTCTGTTATGTTTCCTGGGTTTTCGTCCCTGTCAGATAGATTAGAGAGAAAACAGCAGCGGGTAAAGAGGGTTAACAGTGGGCGCTAATGTCAGCACCTGCCTGTTGTTGAATAAACACTCAGCCACTCATGAATAAATCATTGAGGGGATCTGCAGAGATAAAACAGCTGAAACAGGCTGTGACCTCTGTGTTATTTCAGTTTAAAAGCCACCAATCAGTGTGAACAAGCAGTTTTAGGAGGCCGGGTTCAGAGGAGATTAACCTCCAGTCACCCTGATGTGTCGACTGAGATAATGTCATCTGGGCTGATGCCACTCACCAGCCTGTATTTTTTTTTCTTTCTCCAGGCTGTTGTTTCATTATTGCATAATTTTCTGACTTTTTTTTCTCACCTAATGGTTTATTTCTGAGCACCACCCACTCCTCCTGGTCTTTCACTCTCTCTCAGCTGTTCAAACAGAGCGTTTCTATTTATATGCATTAGCCTGAGAACATATTTACTCAGGTCCAATGAAGCAGTCCGGTATGAAGAGCAGCAGTTTAGCTTGTCAAATTAGCCTGCGCCTGTACTGTGCTGCCTGCTAATGACAGATAATGAGCTGCTGGCAGGTTCATCTGCATGGTTTTCTGTCAAGATCCGAGTCCCTGATCTCAATCGCTGTGACTCTGGGGTCACACCAGTCCTGCAGAGCTGATGAATCTGTATCAGTGGGCTGTCAGTTATTATCACATCTACTGAAAATGACCCCATAGTGAACATCCATATGATCCTTTATGACCACATCCTTAAGTTTGAGGTCCTGGGAACACTAGACCTTCAGTTCTGAAGCAGAGCAGATGATGTGTTATCCTGAGAACATGACAAAACAAAGAAAGAAGGAAAGAGGAGGTCTTGTAGTTCCTCTCTTAAAGGTATAAAAAAAACCCAGACTGGTTAGAGGGAGATAAACAGAGCTGTGTCACTGCTGTCTGTCACCTGTCAGGACCCTGAGTGAGACGAGGACTCTCCTGTCTGACACCTGGGATCAGGTGGAGGGAAGGGACATCACGGGAAATAAAGAAACAGAGTGATGGAGGAAGAGAAAGTGACAGACGGGGCGATAGATGTTTCTCTGCATCTCTTTACCTCCACGTTCAGTGAGAAATGGTTTACTTGAGGGTTAGCGGGTCAGACAGAGAGGGGAGGAACGATCCAGAGAGAGACTGTCAGTGTGGAGGGTGAGCTGTGGCTGTTTGCTGATTGGGGAATCAGGTGCACTGACTGTACGCTGTAGCTGTTAGCAAGGATGCTAATGGTTCTCCTCTGGAAGATCAACTCACAGTTGACCTCTGCTTTAGAAAACAAATAGGTGACCTAGGTAACTGACTTTTACTTTGTTTTAGCAAAATCAATATACATTAGATTTTTTTCGAATCCCATATGTATAATTGATTTATGTATCATTGTTTCTTATTCGTCTAAATGATCTGTCAGTATTTTAACTGTTTTATTTATTCTATCTATTCAATTTATTTTTGTTTATAAATTGTATTTTTTCAACCTTTAAATTTTGCTTATTTATTTTTCTGATGACCTTTTAGCGAGTAACCCATCTTTGAATTTATTCTTAACTAATTTTATTTATTTGCAATATTTTATAATTGTTTTAACTCAATTTAAATTTTATTGTTCATCCAGTTTATTTATTTCTATTTCTTATAATTTTCAATTACTCTTCAGAGATTTAAATTAATTTTGATAATATTAAACTTGTTTTATTTTTTCTGAATTCTCTACAAGTTCTTTAACTCAGTTGTGTTGATATTTTTTAAAATTCATTTTAGTTATTTGTATAAATTTTATTTTTCTTAATTATCTTTAAATGTGTTAACTTTAACTTTTTTTCAATTAATTCCATTTTATATTTTCTAAATTTAAATTGTATCTTATTTTTCCGAGTCTTTTTACCCCTGTTATTTTTTTATGGATAGTCATTTAATTTATTGGATATATTTATTTTATTTTTCTGAATTGTAGTTTTGTGTTTTAGCTCATTTTGAATATTCATAATTAACATATTATTTTATTTTATTTTTCTGATAGAGAGTTTAGTTTTTTAACTCAATTTTATTTATTTATTAAATGACTTCTCAGATATTAATCCTATTTTGTTTTTATCATCTTACTATAGATTGAAGAGGCCACCCTCGGCCACCCTCTGGTTCCGCCTCTGTAATCTTCATGATAACCAGCTCATGTTGGATGTGTGGTGCTCTACATGTCAGGACCTAAAATATCGATACAGCCTTTAAGGGATCAATTCAATTCAGTATTCTGGCATTAAATGTTTTAATTTTTCACTGTATTGATTTTTTCTGACATCTCTAATTTGAATATATGAAGAAAAGTCTGTTCAAACCAGAGGACTTGAACTTTTCTGATCTGTCATTTATTCTCTGTGTCTGCTGACTTTCTCTCTGAAGTCTGCACATTTTTCCCATGATCCATAACTCAGTCATCTTCATGGGATATTCAGGGCCTCTGGGAGCTGCTTGCATGGCAGTAATTCAATGCACAATCCATATGTGTGTGTCAGCCCGAGCCTCATGCAGTCACTCTCCCTCCCTTTTCACCAGGACGCTCCAGCTTCACCTCGGGTGCTTGATCCTGAGCAGGATGTGATGTCACAGTCTCACATCAGCGGTAAAGCGAAGGCTGCTGAGGACGTTGATTCATCTCATCTCAGCAGAGAGATTCCTGCCATGTCTGCTGCCGCTCCATCTCTCACGTCTTTCATCCTCCGTCTCGTCCTCCGCCGTGACAGTGATTAATGACCCTCAGCTGCTGTGTGCTTCCTCGCTGACACTCCCATCTTTCTTCTCCTCCTGTTTGCGCTCTGTCTCACAAGAAGAAGGATTAAAGTGAGTCTTGCCAAAAGAAAAGCGATTGATGCCACATGTTTTTAGTGGGAGGGAAATCTGATAGTGGTCAACATGCAGAGAGAAAGAAATAAAGACTATTCTCACAGGTATAAATACGATTTTATACCTCTAGTCTGAGCTGGGGATCAACAGGTCTGTCTGAGCAATGCTTCACCTCATCCTGGTGCTATATATTGTACAATATCAGGGGTCAGAGGTCATCAGAGGAGACAGAGAAGTAGTCCAAAAACATCACTAGAGAAGGAATGACTCACTCAGTTGGCCAATGCTAAGAAATCTGGATATGTTTTCTAGTCTAGATTTGTTTTTGTTCTGTTTTGACCATTTGCAGTCATGTGTCTGGTATGAATATGCTCACTATAATAGACATCAGAAGTATCAGTGTTTATATGAAAGGCAACTAGGGTTGACAGTTGCATTCAAGGTGCATTTAAGAGCTATTAAAGTGTGTCCCGTTAGCCTGCTTAACACAAATTAGGGTGGGTATTTCCAACAGTCTTGTGATACGATACAGAAACCTTGATTCAAAATGTAACAGGACAGTGTCCACAATTTAATACGTATCACATTACAGTGTCCATGGTTTTAATAAATATCATGATACATTTGATAATACAGTGTATATAATTCAATACATATCATGATAGTGTTCACAGTTCAATACGTATCATGATACAGTGTATGTGATTCAATGCGTATAATGATAGTGTTCTTGATTCGATATGTATCATGATACAATGTCCATGGTTAAACACATATCATGATAGCATCCACAATTAAACGCATATCTCGATGCAGTGTCCACATTTAATACAAGTCATGACAGTGTCTACAGCTCAAAACAATACATTGTCCACCGTTTAAAATGTATCACAATAGTGTCCATAATTTAGTATATATCACATTACAGTGTTGTTGATTAGATATGTATCACGATACAGTGACCACCACTCAATAAATATCATATGTGTCAAGATGTGTATTGTGATACGCATTGTAACATGATACATATCATGATACAAAACTGTAAATAATTAAAGTAAATAAGAACAAACTCTAGTCCAAACAATTACAGGCATTCTGGTTTGTCACATTAAACTGCATAAATTAGTGGTGTAAGAAAAATTGCAGTACTATAAACATTTTGCACGAGTCTATTTTATGTGGTTATTTCTAACTATTTTAGCTGTACCTGTATTCAGTGTTATTTAATCCCAAACTTGCCTTATTTACTTAGATCACCCACCCTGTTGTCCAAATATGTCTCATCTGGATTAAAATATCTATGATAGTAACAGCCAAGATGTCAAATTTGAGGCTTAAAAATAGCATTCAACAAATTCATGGTTAAAAACAGTTGTTAGATTGATTTCTTATACAACAGGCTCTATATGCTCCTCCCTATGTGTTTGACCTCATAGAGAGTCACCTAAAGTTGCAAAACTTTGGCTAATTTACAAACTTTTCTCTCAGGAAAATTGGCTTCAAATCAAATGATTAGATCACCTTAGTTCACAAAAGCTCTCCATAGCATAGATAGCTAACTCCAAGAATGATATTTAAAATGATTTAATGCAAAAATAGAGGGAAAATTATGTCTAAGTTCAAGGAAAGTAATGGGCAAGTGATTTATAGAGCAGATATCCATTCTGTACCAGGAAAAAAGCAATTTAATTTCATTTGTCCAGAAAAAGGGAGGAAATGAAGTGTAGAGGAATGAGTGAGATGGTAACTCCTCTCTGTTTTTGCCCACATTTCATACCACAACTCTGGCCTGCTGTGCTGCGGTTGACTCCTCAATATAAACCAGACCCGTGAAATCACGATACTCTATTATTCTGGCCATCTTGCAAATCTATAACATCCCCTCTGTTCAAAAGTGGAACGTGCGGATCGCCTGTTTTGAATATATATTTTTTTAGCCTTGGGCTGAGATGTTGTGGTGGAAAGAAAAAGAAGTTAAGAGTATGATGAATGTGTTCTGGCCAGAGGAAAGTGGGTGGTCTGTATCTGTCAGCACTGCTATTACAGCAGACAGCAGAGTTACAGGCCAATAAGCCGCGCTATCATCACCGTCATCAACAGCAGATCCCCTTACAACAGCTCTCAGCTGTCCACATTACAGCCCTGACAGCCCAAACATGTACTTACCCAGAGTGCTCAGCACTTGAATGTCTCCTATAAAAAACATGTGGCTGTTTCGCCGTATGTTCTTAAAGAGCCGAAGCACTGAAACGACAAAAACATTTTTGTCATTTGATGCAGTTTTAGTGTTGAACGCAACATTCAAACCATTTACATCAGAAAAAAATGTGAGAAACAATCAGAAGTGCAAAACCAAACGGTAGAAAATAAACCCACAGTTATCAAATATATTGAAAAATTCATTTGCATGAGTGAGTTTTCAGTTTTCTCCAGTGGAACAACACTTCAACAGCTTCCATGCCATTCTTAACTTATTCATAATCGCAGTCTCCTTATCGGAAGGGGACACAACAGTTAGCTACCATTTAAAACAACATAAAGACAGGACTTCATGCAGTTTTCTCCGATAGAGGTGTGCAAAGACATTTTTTGACCCACTTTCTCCACCAACTGCACCCCATCCTATTTTCCCATCTTAACAGCCATCCACTGGACCAATACAAATCATCCATTTTATCACATTTTGTCCACTAGAAGAGCATCTAGAGGGTATGCCATCAGGTTTTCTCCATTTAAGAGGCGACGTTCAAAAGCTTTTAATCTCACTGGAAAATGTCCACTTACACATTGCATCAGTTGTCTACTAGAAAGGGTACCGAGTGGTGTTTTCTCCAATGATAGTACCAAGTTTCATTTTCTCCTCTAAGGGGACAGCCATGAGTGCACCACATCATAATTTGTTTCCTGTTGAGCACCTGATCACATTTTCTCCTCTTTAAGGGCACATATTAGCACAAACCTCATGCATCAAGGAGGGTATGCCATCATGTTTTCTCCATGTTAGAGCCACTTTTTGGTGCATTTAAGTTTTTCACTGACAAGACTTCATGATTTACCCACTAACAGGGCTCTTTATTGCATTTCTTCCTCTTAAAGGTCACATGGAGGTGCACTGTCTCGTGTTTTCTCCACTACAGGAGCATCAAGGGGGTATGCCATCACCTAGTCACCATTCAAAAGGTCAGTTTTGGTGCATTTAAAGTTATTCACTGCAAGAGGGACTAAGAGCCCACTTATTGGACCTTAAGTTATGATTCACCTACTCAAATGGCTCCTCATTACATTTCTTAAAGAGGTGCACTGTCTAATGTTTTCTCCACTAGATCGGAGAAAACCTGAGGCAAGGTATTATATTTTCACCCACGAAGGCACGTTTTTATGTCTGACTTAGTATGAAGGGAACTCTAAAGGTTGCCATACCTAATTTTCTCCACTAGAGTCACTGGTGCACTGCTTTATGTTTTCTCTAATTCCTCTGTACAGATTGTGATTTTTAAAAGTGAGATGCCTAAATAAATAGTCAAAGTCTGAGTTTGCCATATGCAGTCCTAGAACCCAATAAGCTTTAAGTTAGGACCACAAACAGTCAAGTGCATGAAACAAATGTTCAGGAAATGCCGCTTCTCATCTCTGGAGTTGCAAGTCTGCCATAAACGACGGCATCGTACAGAAGAAGAAGAAGTGTTGACTGGAGGTCTTTGGCTGCCGAGCTCTGAGATTGAGTTTCTCTAATGAGAAAGCTCACCAAAGGGCACTACATCAAATTCTCTCCACTGGAAGGGCACCCCAGAGAGCGCTTAATCCTGCAGGCCCAGGGACATCTAAGGAGGCATTTTTGCAGCAGTAAAGTTTGAACAGGACACATTTTGCTTTTCTGGCAGAAACAAGTAATGAGAAAGTGGATGTAATTATCTCGCAGCATCTTCTCCCTGCTCTGTCTGTTTACCTGTGTTATCCTGCAGCTATGACTCTCATTCTCTGGAATTTTTATGAGAGATTTACAGGAGCAATACGAACCCGGGTGCTATAATTACTTAACAGGAGAGCTGCTATCGAAACAGTGTGACGCGGGATCGTAGCGCTGATTCATGACTGCGAAAACAGCAGAAATACACACCGCACACACAGAACTAAATAGAGGGCACAGGCAGGCAAGTCTTTGTTATCAGTGAGATTGGGGAGGAGAATAATGAGGTCAGCGATGAGCCAACTCCACTGTGTTACATTAATGAGGTTTCTGTCTGCAACTGTGGCCAGGCAGCCACAAGGACACACACACTAGATCACCCGGCATTATCTGTCCTCTGTCAGTTTACCCGAGCCAAAGAGAGAGTGTAGCAGAGCGTGGATTAGACTGTACCCCTGCTCTGTTTCCCTCTCCAGCTCATGTTAGACCCCCTGACAGTGCAGCATTGATTTATGAGTCCTGCAAGCAGACACAGCCAGCAGCAGACATTGCTGCACAGAGTAAGCGTGCACGCGTTTGTGTGCGTTTTGTACTCACGTGATTGATTATCCTGTCTGTCTTGTCTGTGGCATTTTTGAAATGTAATCTCACTGAGCAGCATGAAAGGTGTGAGACCCCAGAGAAAGCAGAAACCCGCCCTCTTTCCCCGGCCCACGTCTGGTCTTCGCAGGCTCTCAGTGTTTCCTCGCCTGTATTATATTAGCATACCTTTGCCGGGACATGCTAGGAAATTAAATTCCCCCTCTTCCTGTAAAACTCTCCCTGGATTAAACCGTCACTGTGTGATTTACTGTAACCTCGCTATAAACAGTGTCATCTCAGCATGATTGATGCACGCAGCAAGCGTTTTGTGTTGCCACAATATCACAGCATCATACGTTTCAATTTGCTAACTCCACAGTGACAACAGAACTGAATACGATACGTAGGATGGACAAACAGGACTTTTTTTTAGGGCTGAAATGAGGCAAGAAAAGATGATTGACTAAAGCCGCATGATCTCAGCTGAAAAACCCCCTCATAACAAATCTGTTTTTCCATCAGACCTTCACATGACCGGCTAGCTAGCCTACAAGCTATCATTTATAGGGCCTACCTGGTGTTGTTTCCAAATATAATTATCTGATTATAACATTAATCATTCCCTCACACACTGGATCACTTTCAGCAACAAGTTCACTTGGTTTCAGCCTGCTACGAGCAGAGGTCACAAACCAGTGGGCCTCGAGACTTGGCATGTTTTAAACCAAGACTCCAAAGACCAAGACAGAACATGAGAGTGGTTGTAGATGCCCTGAGCTAAAGTAAGTTTTGTTGCTTAATCTCCTGGAGATGGACAAACTTTTATTCACACAAAGATTGTTAACGTGATCTTTTTCAGAATTCTTCTGTTAAAGACGGATTTCTGAAAAAGTTGTAAGAATGACTATTTTTTTAAAATTCCAAAAATTCCAAATTCCATTTTTTTTTTTAGGAATTATTTGATTTTAACCCAAAACTTCTTTAGGTTAAGGTCAGAAATTTGACGAATTAAAAAAAATGCTGAATCCTGATTCTGATGTTTGTATATAGATTTTTTCTTTTTCAAAATTAGCTATAGTTTTTTGTAAAAATTCAGTGTCTGAATTAAATTTTTTGTCAGAATTTTATTTTATTTTTCTTTCTCAGAATTTTATTTTTTTTCCTCAGAATTTTATTTTTCCTCAGAATTTTATTTTATTTTTTTCAAAATTTTATTTTGCTTCCTCAAAATTCTATTTTGTTTCCTCAGAATTTTTTTTTCTCAGAATTGTATTTTTTCTCAGAATTCTACTTTTTTATGTTGGAGTTTTACATTTTTTCTTCTGAGAATTCTCAGATTTGAAGTCAGAACTTTGATGTTCTTTTTATATTCTGAGTTTATAGTTGGAGTTTTGAGATCATGAATCAACTTCTGAAAAAAGACAGAATTCTGGGTCAAAAGTTATAACTGTTAAAAAAAAAAGTTAGTATACTGAGAAAAAAATTATGTCAAGAAAACTCCAGACGAAAAAAAAAAAGAGTTCACTTTCAGTTTGCTTGTGAGTGGATGGGGACTCCTGGGCTTGGATTTAAGGAAGTCTAAAATGTAAAAAATGCAGCATCAGAGAAATTAAGAAGCTATTTCTAACATGGCATTAGAAGATTGTTAGCTGTGTGTAAATATTAGAAAATCACATTTTACTCCTGCCAAACATCCCTCCACCTCACCGTCTCTACAGTACTTTTCAGTAGTCTAAGAGGATAAGTTTAATATCTTTTGTGCATAACACTGAGGATTGCACTGCACATCGATATGTTTAGGTAACCTGACTGCTGCGTTAGCTTAAATTCACGTCATGCTCCTGCACCGTCAAACTTTGTTGTTGTTAGACTGCCATGTTAGTGTTATTGTTACAGATTACAGTGATAGCTAAAAGTACCAAGACTGTCATAATAAATCGAAATGATCCTTTAAAGCTTCTGTGCTGACGCAATCTTCACAGCAACAGCTCTGGCACGGCTCCTCATTTATCTCCCTGTGTTATGCCTGTGTGCAGCCGATGATAAATGAGCGCAGCAGATCCTGAGAGAGCTCGCAGAGGAAAGAATAATGGGTATTTAAGCACACTTGTAAATTACCAACACATTTGTCTTAGACTGTCCCCTCAGGGAAGTCTGACAGCACAGCACACAAAGTATATAAAGCTCACATACATCTGTTCCACATCGCCTTATTGGATCTGCTGACATCACTTAAATACAAACTGTCACGCCATGTGCCATAATTCAGACTTTGACAAAGCGCATAAAGCTGTCTCTGCACCTGCATTTATGTGTGTGAGTGTGTGTAGATCACCGAGCCTGTCTCAGCAGGTGTGTGCCGGGTCATGCAGAGTGCACGCTGATGTTTATCTCTAAGTACCGCAGACAGGCATGCTGGACCGCCTGGTGGGAAAGTGGGATTACAGCTATCTGTTCCTCCATGGCCTGCTGAGCTCCAAGCCTGTGATTTTGCAAGAACACGTTTCCATCAGCTGCACTCGCGCTGTTTGCAGCTTTGTTACGCGGTTGTTGATTGTTTCTGCATACCTCGGGAAAACACTGCCGGACCCGGAGCCTTTCATTTCTACCCACTGTACCTGTAAAGGCATGGTTGACGATTGGAGAGAATGGTAAGTATTATGAACCTCATTCATATGGCGATCATGGTACCATAGCGTGATCTCCACAGAGTGAAGAGAAAAAAGAATGGAAAAAATCTGTCCACCATAGCATCTGCAGAAACATTGACCAATAGGAGCCATCCGTCCCGGACTCAAATTATTTTTTGTAGGATGGTAGGGGAAAGTCCCGCCTCCTTTGCCTCTGATTGGCTAGAAAAGTTGGAAACATAATCACATGCTCAAGCCAAACATGAGCTGTCATCTTGGTACATCGAACACCCTAGCCCTAACCCGACAGACGATGATGTTTCACAGCCATTAGGAATAACCAATCGGAGCCCAGCTCTTCTAGCCAATCAGAGGTAAAGGAGGGTGGGACCTTCCCCTACCATTCTACAGAAAAAAAAATTGCCATTCTGGACAGCTTCTATTGGTCAATTCCTACCGGATCCATTTGTGAGGTGAATTTCGTGGCAGATTATGGACAACAGGGATCGCGAGAATTTACAAGAACCCCCGGATTCAGGTGCAATGACACGCTAACTAGTTGTCTTTAGCCACATGGGCTAACCATATAAGCAGTAGATTGTGTCCTTCAAGAGGAAATCTACTAGACTTCTAGAATCAGCATCATCCATGGTGTCATGGGGGTGAAATGCTGTCCAAAAACCTTTCACTTGTTCGTCTCTGCCCGTTTGCATGGTATGAAATACGATCCACCTGAAACACGGACTGTTTTATTTCAAAAGAAACCGGATGTTTTATTTTGTGTGTGTGCCTGACTTCCTTTCCAGCAGGGGTTAATCTGTGCTGAATTTATCCCGCGTACTGTGACATCCGCAAAAAAATAGAACTCTTGCGATCAGCTGCAGAGTCCGGCGATCCACAGTCAAAATTGACAAATTCACTTGAATGGTTACGATCGGCGGATACAACCTTTTCGGTGGAATTTGTCCGTTTTTCTCAACTGCTTCCCAGATCGTCAACCATGCCTTTTAAGTTGTATCGTCAATGCGTGCATGCTGCTGTTTTCAGAATATTTTTTAGATGGTTTATGCTGAGGTCAGGGATCGGATCACTTTCTGCATCTCTTTTGTTTGACGTTGCAAAAAGAAAAAGAAAAACATCTGGTTACTGTCAGCATAAAAAAGAAGATGATATAATGTTTGGCGTGTTCGGTTCAGTGTTTTTTAACGCTCACTGACAGCAGAGACGCTGAGAATAGTGAGAATGATCTTCGCTGTTATCAATCACAGATAAAAACATAAATCAGATCGAGCTTCTTTCTCGGCTGAACTCGGTGACTTTTCTTTGACTTTCCGCTGGACTTCATCTGTCGAGCTCGGAGCTGTTTTCGTTCTCCTGCCAAACTTCAGATCAACACACGGCTTTGTGTTCCTGCAGCCGCATCCTGCTGCAGAGCCTCCAGAAGAGCGGGGAGCGCTGCGATCCATCATCCTCGTTCATAAACAGTCATTAATGTTTACGGCAGGTGTCGTGGCATGTTTACGACAGCATTATGTCTGCTTTACGAGACCACTGTCAAGTCAGCTTTTTATGAGCGCGGCACTCCAGAGGGGACCGCTGGCAGCACCTCCAAAAGCTTCTGGGATGTTTAATCAGATACTCCAACAGCCTCACAAATAAAAGGAGGGAACGGCGTTTGGCGAGGGTGTCGCTCAGTTTGACGGGGGCGGTCATCAAACCTTCTCATTAAACTCTCGGCGTACGGGCTCCCTGTTCTTCAGGGCTTTTATGGGAAAATCACTACTCTCAATTTGCTCAGGGTAGTAAAAGTTGTGTTCCAAGTAGTGGCTGTGGGTTCTGGTGGGGGGTTAAACACCGCCACAGAAAACCCCCAACCATTTCCCCAACGCCATTCTGCTTTATGGCGTGCTGTAAAGCTGTTGGCGGGCTGACAGTGGCGGTATCTTTTTATCCGCCTGCTAATTTAAGGAAAAAGATTAAGGTTGTGAATTTCAATGGCGGTGACGTTTTTTGTGGATATTAATGGTGATATTAAGTTTAGTTAGAGGCGTGTGAAGCTCACATGGATGCTGGTCTGTCTTTTCAATGTAGTTGTTGATTTTTTAAAAACTGAATATTTTTTTAAACCATTGATCTCCACCAATAAACTCCTTTTAGAGAGCTTATTAACTGTGATAAATTAATTATAGTTTTGGCTCCATAATGACTCATATTTTGTAGACTAGTCATTTTGTCTGGCCATCACAAACCTGAAATACTGATATTTTTCCAAAAATACGCACATGCTTATACTATGAGGTAGGGCTGAGCGATAAACTGAAAATTTACCGATACCAAAATTTACGACTATAACAGACGTCATTTTGCCCGTGTCAATATATTCGGTAACAAAGAAGGAAAGACAGGTGAGGAGATGGAGGACGGTTGAAAAGTTGTAGCAGCTGGAGCGGCGGCTGAAGTAGACGAAGTTAATGTGGGAGGGGTTTA